CCCTCCCAGTGCCCCCATTCCCCTCCCAGTCCCTCCCAGTGCCCCCATTCCCCTCCCAGTCCGTCCCAGTGCCCCCAGTTCCCACCGCAGGGTCTCCTTGATGGCAGCCCTGACGAGAGGCATTGCCCCCAGCACTCTGTGGATCCCCTCGTTGCGGTGCTGCTCTGCGGCGCGGATCTCAGCCCGGAGCTCCTCCTGCACCGCGGGGTTCCGGGCCAGCTCAAACAGCGTGAACAGCAACGGCACGGCCGTCTGAGGGATGGCATGGCACCCACGTGGCACCACATGGCGCCCTATGGCACCCACATGGCACAACATGGTGTCCTATGACATCCCTATGGCACCACATGGCACCCTATGGCACCAACACAGCACCAACGTGGCACAACACGGTGTCCTATGGCATCCCCATGACACCACATGGCATTAACATGGCATCATATGGCACCAACATGGCACCCTATGGCACCCACGTGGCACCACATGGCACCAACATGGCGCCCTATGGCATCCCCATGACACCACATGGCACCACATGGCATTAGCATGGCATCTTATGGCACCCACGTGGCACCCTATGGCACCACGTGGCACAACACGGTGTCCTATGGCATCCCTGTGGCACCACATGGCATTAACATGGCATCATATGGCACCAACATGGTGCCCTATGGCATCCCCATGGCACCAACATAGCACCAACGTGGCACCACGTGACAAAACAAGGTGTCCTATGGTATCCCTATAGCACCACATGGCACCATGTGGCACAACATTGCGCCCTATGGCACCAATGTGGCACCACATGGCAAAACAAGGTGTCCTATGGCATCCCTATGGCACCACATGGCACCAACGTGGCACCACGTGGCACAACAAGGTGTCCTATGGCATCCCTATGGCACCACATGGCGTCCTATGGCACCAACACAGCACTAACATGGCACCACGTGGCACAACATGGTGTCCTATGGCATCCCTATGGCACCACATGGCACCAACGTGGCACCAACATGGTGCCCTATGGCTCCAACATGGCACCACGAGGCATCAATGTGATGCAACGAGGCACCAACGTGGCACCACGTGGCACAACATGGCACCCTATGGCACCAACATGGCACCACGAGGCATCAACGAGGCACCAACGTGGCACCACATGGCATCCTATGGCATCCCCATGGCACCACGTGGCATCCTATGGCACCAACACAGCACCAACGTGGCACCAGCATGGCACAACATGTCACCCTATGGCTCCAACGTGGCACCATGTGGCATCAACGTGAAGCAAAGAGGCACCAACGAGGCACCAACGTGGCACTACGTGGCACAACAAGGCGTCCTATGGCATCCTCATGGCACCACATGGCATCCTACGGCACCAACACAGCACCAACATGGCACCACGTGGCACAACATGGCGCCCTATGGCACCAACATGACACCACGAGGCATCACCATGACACAGCGAGGCACTACGTGGCACCATGTGGCACGACATGGCATCCTATGGCACCAACACAGCACCAACGTGGCACCACATGGCACAACATGGCGTCCCATGGCATCCCTATGGCACCATGTGGTGTCTAATGGTACCAACACAGCACCAACGTGGCACCATGAAGCACAACAAGGTGGCATCCCTATGGCACCACATGGCACCACGTGGCACCACATGGCGTCCTATGGCACCAACACAGCACTAAGGTGGCACCACGTGGCACCAACGTGGCACCACGTGGCACAACAAGGTGTCCTATGGCATCCCTGTGGCACCACATGGCACCAACGTGGCACCACGTGGCACCAATATGGCACCAACATGGTGCCCTATGGCTCCAACATGGCACCACGAAGCATCAACAAGGCACCAACGTGGCACCACATGGCATCATATGGCATCCCTATGGCACCACATGGCATCCCCACGGCACCACGTGGCATCCTATGGCACCAACACAGCACCAACATGGCACCACACGGCACAACATGGTGCCCTATGGCTCCAATGTTTCACCACATGGCATCGCCATGGCACAGCATGGCGTCTCTATGGCACAACACAGCATCACCATGGCACAACACGCCATCACATGGCATCCCCATGGCACAACATGGCATCCGCATGGCACAACGTGCTGCCTGTGTGGCATAACCTGGCGTCCCCGTGGCACAACATGGCATCACGTGGCACAACACAACGCCCGTATGGCACAACACAGCACCCTTATGGCACAGCATGGCACCCCGATGGCACGACACGGCATCACACGGCATCCCCATGGCACAACACAGTGCTTCTATGGCACAACACGGCATCACATGGCACAACACGGCGCCTCTGTAGCACAAAATGGCATCTCCATGGCACAACACGGTGCCTCTATGGCACAAAATGGCATCTTTGTGGCACAACATGGCATCACATGGCACAGCATGGCACCTCTATGGCACAGCATGGCGTCACATGGCACAGCATGATGCCTGTATGGCACAGCATGGCGCCCCTATGGCACAACACGGCATCACATGGCACAGCATGGCACCTCTATGGCACAGCATGGCATCACATGGCACAGCATGATGCCTGTATGGCACAGTATGGCGCCCCTATGGCACAGCATGGCGTCACATGGCACAGCATGGCGCCCCTATGGCACCACACGGTGCCCCATGGCACAACACGATGCCCCGTTGGCGTCCCCATTGCCGGCCCCGTAGATTCCCACAGCACCCTATAACGTCCCGTAGCGCCCCACAGCACCCTGATATCACCCCACAACCCTACAGCACCCTATATCACCCCATAGCACCCCAGTACCACCCCATAGCACCCCAGTATCACCCTATATCACTCCATAGTCCCCCAGTACCACCCTATAGCACCCCAATACCACCCTATATCACCCCATAGCCCCCAGTAGCACCCTATATCACCCAAAAGCCCCCCAGTAGCACCCAATACCACCCCAATACCACCCTATATCACCCC